GGGGCTGGCAGAGCTCCAGCACGGAGATTGCACTGTGCGGGACGCTCGAGAGCGCCTGGGGACGGGGCTGTGCACGGGGACAGGGAGCGCCAGTAGGCGGTGGGCCCGACGGCTGGGAAGCCCTAAGGGGGACTGGGAGCCCCAAGAGTCAGGGGTCCCGGGCTGCCCAGAAGCTCTGAGGGAGAGAGAACCCTGACAGCCTGGGGACACCGGTGGACAGGGAGCAAACAAGGCCCTGCAGCACCTCTGCAGTGGGCATACAGTATGGCAGGGGCCAGGTCAGTGCTGAGATGCATGTGCGCTGGGATTGTGGGAACTGGCTAATGCTGAGGAAATTTATTAGAGCTTCCTTTGTGGGGGAAGTGTTTTCAGAGACAGGACAGTCTGCAGGAAGCCCTGCTGTGTCACAGAAATGGGATGCACAGGGATGCAATGGAGCTTGACTGCATGCTCATGAGAGAATGGTCATCACCACTGGTCATTGCTCAGAGCTCGTATCAGAGAGAAATGAGGCTGTGTGGCTGGGCTGGGAGTGAGCAATAGGGTACTGGTCCTTGAAGGACCAGTTGGGAGGTGGTAAGAGGGCTATGAGGCATGCAGGTGACTGTAGGTAGTGGCAGACTAAGTAGAGGTTGAAAGTGAGTTGTTAGCCTAAGGCTGCACTGCAGGCAAGCCTGGACTCTGTCTGGTTCTGAGGACAGATAATCTCAAACTCTTCAGAGACATCTCTGTGAGTGTAGAAGAGAAAAGCATATGCCAGGTCAGTGACTGGTGCTCAGCAAAGATTAAAGAGGCTTCTGAATCCTTCCTCATCTGGACTGGAGTCTCAAAAACATCATTACATGAGTCATGGCCTCTCATGTGAGACTTTGGGTATAGCATCAGCAGCATCTGCAGCTTTGATGGAGCTTTTGCACAGCAAGCACTCTGACATCTGTTTGTGGCATGCACAGTGGGTGCTGTCTTTCCAGCTTCTCTGCTGGGGCCGCTGTGGACCTGCTTCCCCTTCCTCATGGCTGTCATGAGATATGAGGTGCCACTGGCAGGCAGGCAGGGATGCATGCAACGGTCCCTCTGTAATTCCATATCTTTTTTTTCTAAGTGTGACTTAATCTGCTAAGTGTAGGCTAGCCTCTCCTGTGGTGCCCTGGCCTATTAGCCCTAGGCTTGGAGATGCTTGTGGAGATGCTGCAATATGCAGCTCACTCTATTTTAGCTGCCCTTCCTGTCAACCTCCTTGCTATGGCTCTGGACCTCCAAGCACCTCTCTGGACAGATTCTCATGCTAGCAGTTTTCTTCAGAGGATTCTGCTGCCATTTTTTACTAGGGAACTCAGTGCCCTATGGTGGGAGGGACAGAGAGGGAGCAGGGCAGCCTGGCTCACATTACACAGGCTGGGCCTGGACCAGTCAAGCCAGCCCCTAGCGCTGAGCTATCTGCTAATTGGAAGCAGCTGTTCAGATTTGGTGACTCTGCATCCACTGAGGTCACTGCTGTCTTCCTTTATGACCTGAGCCTTCAAGCTTCTTAGGAACAGAGGCCTACTAGTACCATGGATGGCCATCTGCCCGTCCGGGACTGGTGCAATCTGGCAGCCTGGCAGTTGCATCTCTTACCAAAGAGGTAGCTAGGCTCTGAAACTATCCACTTGTATCCAGGGAGTATGGAAAGGGAGAAGTTTACACAGACTTTCATCACCAGTTCCCCACCCCAAGTACCCTTATTTCTGTTCCCTGGTTGCCACAGTGCTCTCAGATGCTCTTCACACTGCCAAGATTTGCTTTTCAAGTTTCATTCCTCCTTGCCAGCAGCCCACAAAGCCTTGATGCACTCCCTTCTGCTTCTCAAGAGCCACATCACTAATCAAACCAGGTGGGTTTTTTACCCGTGTTTCTGCCCTAATCTGTTCCAGGCATTACCCAAGGCCCTTTAGCTTCATCCTGTCCTCAGCCACTGAGATTGCCCCAGGGAGCCTTGTCCCTCTACCTGTTTTTCTACTCTTCTTTTTATTTAGTTTTTGTCTAACCTCCTGCCAAGGCTTTAAACCCTCTGCCCTGTACCTTCCCATGACCTCAGCAGCTGGGTCACAGGATGGTGCAGTTTCATCACCGAAGCAAACTTGGACCCCACGCCCCCAGCACTGCATGTTCTGGATGTATGCAATTACTCCTCCAGCTAGAGAAATCTGACTAGCCCCAACAGAGAGAGAGAGAGACCTGTCTAGGACCACTGAGTTAGTGGCAGATCCCCAGCTAGCCGCCCAACAGGGATAAAAGTAACTTGACTTCTGCTCCTGAGAGATAACGAGGATTCATACTTGCTAGGTACGAGAAGAGTGTGTGGATTCACTTGCCATAGACCTTAGACACTGGATGCCCACTGAAGTAAACAAACACTTCTTATGTAGAAAACACTTTTTAATATTTTTCTTTCTGTCACTAACCCAGGATTTCCACAGGGAAAATGAACCTAAACAGCTGACCCGAGGTGGGAAAGAGGACCCATGAATAATCATCCTACGTCCCCTGGAAAGGGTTAACACTGCTGTAGGGTTCTTTAGATCAAGGGCTGATATTCTTAGTCCCCAAACTAGGCAGTGTCAGCCACCTCCATCCCCCAAGACAGGGAGGTTCCTGCCGTCCTGCGTCTGACATGAGCAGCTCCTGAGTGTGGTTATGGGACCAGCAGCAAATGCTTTCAAGAGAGTCCAAGTGTGAGCTCATGCTGCCGCCATCCCTGCAGACCACTAAGCCTCGTTTACCGGGGGCTGAAAGCAGCACTAGGGCTGGTGTTCTTCACAAGCTCCTTGACTGCTTAGTTTCTCTGGCTGTTCACAGGGAGGGTGGGCAGAGCCCTGGGGGGCTGACAGCCTTTGAGCACTGGGAGCATGTCCAGTGTGTCCAGTAGTGGTGTTGCTGCATGGAGCTGCTCCTCCCTGCTCGTCCCTCCCCCACTGCTGCAGTGAAATGAAGCTACGGCAGGGGGAAATGGAGTGAAGGAGCCAGAATGAGCAAGGAGCAGTGAGAAGGAGACAAAGGAGGAGAGTGAGCAGTGGAGGGTGTGGGACCGGGAAGGAGCCAGAGCAGCTGGCAGTTCAGAGGGAATTGCTGCGTTCCTGCTGCACTGCCACCACCCTCCATGGTACCAGCTTGGGGCATCCACAGATCTCTGTGCCAGGCCAAACAATGGGCCCTGCCTGATTTTATCCTGGGCATTCCCAGCTGTGGGTACATCCTTTGCAATACAGCCATTCTGATTTATTGTTCACTGGATGTAAGCCCACTCCAGTTCTGCTGTTCCTTCCCAGGGACACCAGATTTGCACTTCATGTGTTTTTTGCCACCTATAGCCCTGTGGTCCTGAAAGGCATACTACTGGGGGCAGGGGGTGGGGGTGGGGTCTCCACACAGTCACTTGTTGAGCCCTCTCCCAATTTAAGACCAGCTTTTTTCAGGTTGAGAGGTGCTAGGCTGCTGTTTGTCCAAAAATTGTCATCTTGCAGCCAGCCTCTCTCGGCCTCACAGGAAGCATTCGGCTGTTAAAGGCACAGGAACACTCTGCTCTAGGGCAGCTGGCTCCAGTGTTGCCAGGAGGGCGGGTGGTTGGGAAGAATGCTTGACTATGTAGGAAATAGTCTATGTGATAGAGTACTAAGTGCTAACCTCAATGCACTGTCAGGTGTGACCTGCTTGGCTGACTTTATGTGCTGCCCCAGGCCTTCATTCTGGGCACCCTCTCCTCTGACACATTTTCGCCTTCGCTCCTTGTGAGGGGTCGGTGATACAGAGCAATTGGGCAGCAGGTACATGGCAGGCCTTCCCTCTCCATGTTTTTTTTCTGTCCTTCCTTTGCTGCTCCCTCTTAACCGGCATCCTCTGGTCTGCATTCCATGCAGGATTAAAGCACAGACTGCAAAGGTGATCAAGCCACCCTCTGCTCTGCAAGTCACTAGCAATGGAGCAGATGAAGGGGTCAGCCGTGCTTCTGCTGGAGCTACTAATTCTTGGGGGCCTGAGAGCAGGGAAGGGCTCTGCCGTCCTGGGCACCCTGGATCTACAAATAGATGAGGAGCAACCAGCTGGCACCATCATTGGGGACATCAGCGCTGGCCTGCCCCCTGGAACTAGTGCCTACATGTATTTCATCTCAGCACAGGAAGGCAGTGGTGTTACCACTGACCTGGGGATAGATGAGAACACTGGTATCATCAAAACAGCTCGTGTCCTGGACCGAGAGACTCGGGACCGCTACAGCTTCATTGCTGTTACTCCAGAGGGCATCACAGTAGAAGTGAACATCCAAGTGAATGACATCAATGACCATGCTCCAGCCTTTCCCAAACAACACAGCACCTTCCAGATCCCAGAGCACACACCTATTGGCAGCAGATTTCCCTTGGACCCAGCCTTTGATGCTGACAGTGGTTTACTCAATACACAAGGCTATGTGATTAAGGGAGAGAATGTGGGGCAGGCCTTTCGCCTGGAAACACGTCGAGGACCCAATGGGGTCCTGTATTTGGACCTGGTGGTCAGCAACATCTTGGATCGGGAGAACTGTTCATCATACTCGCTGCTGTTGGAAGCCTATGATGGTGGCTCTCCTCCCCGAAGTACACAAATGACACTGGATGTGTCGATCCAGGACATCAATGACAATGCTCCTAGCTTCAACCAGAGCCGCTATCATACTCTCATCTCAGAGAATTTGAAACCTGGCAGCAGCATCCTGCAGGTCTTTGCCTCTGATGCAGATGAAGGTGACAATGGGGATGTGATTTATGAGATCAACCGGCGGCAGAGCGATCCTGACCAGTATTTTACTATTGATTCCCGGACGGGAGTCATCAAGCTCAACAAGGGTCTAGACTATGAAGTAAGGAAGGTGCATGAGCTGGTGGTGCAGGCAAGGGATAAGGCTGTTCATCCTGAGGTCACCACAGCCTTTGTCACTATTCATGTGCGTGACTACAATGACAATCAGCCCACCATGACTATCATCTTCTTGAGTGAAGATGGCTCCCCTCAGATCTCTGAAGGAGCCCAGCCTGGCCAGTATGTGGCACGCATCTCTGTGTCTGACCCAGATTATGGCGAGTACTCCAATGTCAATGTCACACTGGAGGGAGGGGATGGCAAGTTTGCCCTCACTACCAAGGATAACATCATCTACCTGATCTGTGTGGACCAACTTCTGGACCGGGAAGAAAGAGACTCCTATGATTTGCGGGTGACAGCTACTGACTCAGGAACACCCCCACTCCGGGCAGAATCAGCCTTTGTGCTGCAAGTGGTGGATATCAATGACAACCCTCCACTCTTTGACCAGCAGGAGTACAAACAAAGCATCCCTGAGGTTGTGTACCCAGGCAGCTTTGTCCTGCAGGTGACAGCTCGTGACAAGGACCAGGGTCCCAATGGGGAGGTGCGGTACAGTATTGTGCATGGCCGTGACACCCACTCCAGCTGGTTTGCCATTGACCCTGCCACAGGTATCATCACCACCACTGCCCCACTGGATTATGAGAAGGATCCTCAGCCTCAGCTGACTGTGCTGGCCACAGACAGGGGAACCCCTGCGCTCTCTTCTTCAGCTGTGGTGCATGTGGCCCTGCAGGATGTCAATGACAATGAGCCAGTGTTCAGGAGTAATTTCTACAACGTGTCCCTGAAGGAGAACACCCCTGTTGGGACCTGCTTCTTACGGGTAGGTACAACTGTCGGGAGCTGAGCTTAAGGAGGGCATGGCCCAGAGCTGTGAGATGCTTGGGGTGGGAGACCTGCCACTGAATGCTGTTTGGTGCAGCTGTCATGGCTTAGTGGGCAGCGATGTCAGTAGGAATGCTAGAACAGCGATCCCCATGCTCCATGTGAGTCAGAAATGGGGCAGAGTACTGTTACACGCTTTATGCATGTGAGTACTGGGTGATATCACTGATACTATGGGCACATCTTGAAGGTGTCCTTTGTGCAAAGCATGATGTTGACCTGCCTTGCAGGCCAGGACACTCAAAATGGTGCTCAGGAACATGGGTAAGACCTCTAGGAAGCTGCTTGTAGCCAAGCTGCTAACTTCTCTCTCCCCCTGTGAGGTCATTAGCCTAAATTCATCAGTGTTTGTAAGGCTGGTTGTGAACGTTAGCATTAATTATGCACAATTGGTGTTGTTATATTACCTTGGAAAAAGCACCTGTGGGATTTGAGCTGAGATGTGTGCTGCATCAGCTTTCACATAGTGAGAGGTCACGGATGAGGTCTGGAAAGGTGCTGACAGGTTCTGAGGACCCTGAGATGTGCCACTGATGCCGTTTGTATTTTGTATATTTTGTGTTCCCTGTATTTGCTGTTTCATTCACAGCTCAGGCCCTGGAGCCCTGGTTGCTGGAAACAGGTGATGCAGCCCATCTGAGCCAGGATGGGGAGATGTGGGGCTTGGGGCTGACAGTAGGGAACGGGTACGGTAGTGCAGCAAGGCACTGCCAACCAAGGCAGCGTCCAAGACTACCCATTGGAACAAACATCTGTGAAGTTTGGGGCACTTCATGCTGGAGTCATAGGGTGCTGGGATGTCTAGCTGGGGCCACAAGGGGCTCTGGGGCCAGATGGTGAGCAGTGCCCATGGGGTCAGGAGGAGGGGGTGAGGGGGAACAGGAATTCTGGGGCCCATGAGACAAGGCAGGAGGAGGTCCTGCAAGCTGGCCAGGGAGAAGGGCTTCCAGATGGGCCTGGAGGAGGAAGTGGAGCTGGTGAGAAAAAACGGTCTATGGGTTGTGCGTGGGTGCCCTACAGGGGCATGGAATGGGAGCACTGGAGAGGGGCTTGTGGAGTGGGTGAGTGCAGGGGACATGGGATAGCAGTGTGGAGGAGAGTGTGGCGGGAAGGAGGAATTGGGTGGGAGCAAGGGCCAGGTGTGGAATAGAGAAGTGACATGGAGCAGGGGCAAGTTTAGGATGGGG